CCCCATGTTGTATCAGTGGCGTCAGACTCCTCCGCAGAACCAAGCCGTGCTGCCAACTAATAGAAAAACAACCAACTTGCTTCCTGTGGGCCGTGCGAACACAGCACATCCCACTGAATACCTACCTAAATAGTTTCCGTAAGGATACCCCACCTGACTGCCCGTTGTGTGACTGCCAGAATGAAACAGTACCACACCACCTCTTTACCTGCCCTGCACTTAGCGACCTACGTAGCACCCACCTACCTACCTACCTCCCCAGATATCGGAAATACTTTATACAACGACAAAACACAGCTGATTAAAACCTGTAAATTCTTTGCCATATCGACAGGCCGAAGGGCTAGAACCCAGATGGCCGCTGGGTCGGAAAAGTAAGTAAAGCGTTCCATGGGCTTTTGCAGTTTGCAGTGCCATAAATCTCTGACCAACTGAAACAGATTAGTCAGTGAACAGAGCCTTGTAAGCAGGGCCAGAAGCTCTGAAGGTGAGTACAGAGTTGACAACTGCCTACATTTTTTCGACCCCGTAGAAATGCGTGCATGAGGACTCAAAATGTACGGGTCATTTTTGTCTAATAATACACCTTGTATTAAGACTTTTTATATAAAATGCAACAATTTCTCAATTTTTGACCTGAAGCCTGGCAAAATCCGGACAGTTTCAGAAATCCAGATTTAGAGAGATTTATCTGGAAATTCAGCACTTCATGAGCGTGGCAAGCAATGTTATTAGCTCCATCTTTTCATCTGTCTTCCTGAACATCCTTATAATTTATTCATTTATTAAGATCATTTCACAAGAAAGTATGAACAAACTCACCAAATTTATTCTTAACAAAAAATGTCGCAAATTGACACTCTGCACCTGTCCATTCCTCGTGTCTACCTCGTACAACCGTGAGCCCACCCCTCCTTCCCTCCTTCACTGCAGGCACAAAAACAGAACACCAAATTCATAGATTATGCCTACTTTATCATTTCCTTTGAATTTATTACTGGATCCCTTATAACGAGAATCCTGCTATAACGGACATTTCGTACCAGTCCCCTCCCTCTCGTTATAACAGGATTCCATGGTATACGGTATTTCCTTCCCCGTGTGGTGCAGGGATCCTTGCTGGCCCCTACCTGGATTCCGCAACAAGACCCAGGAGATTTAAGGCGGATCTGGCAAATTCTGCGCCCGTCATCTCAACAACCTCTGTCGGCTCGGCTTTACACTGAAAATGGCAGGATGATGAAAATATTAAACTTATTTCCCCATAAAGATTCCAGTTAAATCCATACATCTTACCCAAATATATATATGAAAAAAGTTCTCCTATAATATAATTCATTTACTCGTCATAACCGTGAAAGTTTGTCAAAATGAGCACAAGGTTTTTTCAGTCCCTAAATTTAATAGCAGAGTGGGGTAGAAACTAAAGGCATAACTCCCTCAATATAAATGTAGGAGTAAATTTTGTTTTATGCATAATTTGTTCAAAATTAATAATTGCAGGATAAAATGTTATGTGATTGTCGAATTTTGTGATAAAGGACAGGGTGTCTAAAAAAAGGATCCACTTCAAGAGCAACAACTCGGTCACCTCAGCATTGACTTCAACAAAACTTTGAACAAACAAAATTCAACTAGGTAGACATCAAGTTCGCAAATTTGGAGAAAATCAACTGACGTGTTTGAGAAATAACAAGTTTTTTAAAATTCAACAAAAATCGGGTAAAATGCAAAACTTTACTTATTAAAAGCATTCAGCTACAGGGGTGTCAGTGGTCTTTTTTGGTTTCAGGACTAGGACGGTTAAACCAAGACTGTCACACATCAGATTTGCATCTCACCGTGCTGAAAAAGTTTATGAGAAGTTTCGGGAGGAGAAGGCGTAATGCTTTTGAGGAGGCCTGGTTCTAGTGGGATGGGGCCACACATCAAAAGTGGAAAAAGAAAGGTTTGGGGCACGTCTTACAAAGAATGGTCACCATATCTCCCCGACTTGAACCCTTTTACTTTTTTCCTTTATGATTTTTGACAGTCTACAGAGTCTACAGCAACAACCCACAAACAACCCAACAGTTGAAAATCAATGTTGGATAGGGGGTCCAAAAGAATCTCACCCAGAGATACGCCATAGCATTATTCAGAATTTCGAGTGGCGCGTTGGAGCTTGTATGGAGAGAAAAAGTAAACACTTTGAACATACAATTTAAATAAAGCCCACTTTCTCTGGGTTTCTTTGGTATTATAGATTTTATGTAAATTTGTTCTTCAATGTAAGATAGTGCCTATCTCAAATAGAACAGCATGGTTGATTTTTAAGAAGTTACAAAGTTAAGCGTTTCACCCAATTTTGTTTCAGGTTTTAAAAAAATTGATGTTTTTCGAACATGCGAGTTGATTTACTTCATATTGGCAAATATAACATCCCCTGGGCTGAATTTTAAGCTCGAAGTTTGTTGAAATTGGTCCAAAAATGACTGAGATTTTCATCCTTTAAATCGGTCCCTTTTTAAAGACACATGCTACTTCAAAATAGAAACAAGAACTTTTAACGTTACACTCCACACCCTCAGGAAGGCACAACAGGTCAGCATTGATAGATATAGATACCCAAGGTCCCAGGAGAAAAGTTGTCAGTTATTAAACCAAATACAAGAACACGATAATTTTTTTAAAAATGCTGTAAGTGTTCTATGGGGCGTTATTCAGCATAACCTAATTCATCTCGATATCTAGAAATTAGCCACATGAGGGACACAAATATTTGTAAATTAGACTAAAAGTCGCTAAATGTAGAAATGTTGTCATGAACTCCCAGCCCTCCTGTTCAGCCAACGTCATGCTCATCCTAAGGGTGGCAGTACAACGAGGTTTGACTTTAGCATAAGGAACTGACTGGCTCACCGCACAGCTCATTTCTGATCGGCATCGTGCAGACTCATTCAGTTCACTAGAGTTAAGAAATAAGAATACTGACAGAGGTTTACCACGTTGAGATCGTTGATCATAACCTGCTGCAGCTGTTCACTTGATGACGGTTTTCTTTTTGCAACACTTTTCTGTTTGCCGCAACGTTTGGCCAGCCTAGCCTGGCGCTTCCTCTCTGTTTCTTTCACCCTTGATTGAAAATAAAGAAAAAAAGATGTCTAAAATGTTAACCCCAGATTTTCGTGCAACTTATTGTACAGCATCAAACAAAAAACGGCAAACAAAACAAAAACCCCACAAAATAAGAAAACAATGTCTAAAATGTTCATCCCAGATAAGAAAACAACAATGTCTAAAATGTTCATCCCAGATAAGAAAACAACAATGTCTAAAATGTTCATCCCAGATAAGAAAACAACAATGTCTTAAATGTTCATCCCAGATAAGAAAACAACAATGTCTTAAATGTTCATCCCAGATAAGAAAACAACATAATGTCTAAAATGTTCATCCCAGATTTTCATACAATTCTTCTGACAACACTCCCCCACCCCCACCCCCCCTAAAAAAAACGTACACAGCTAGGATGCAGGCATATTTCATAATTACCGAATGGCACGTTTTTTTTGGTGGCTTAAAGCAGCACGTTGCTTTCTTCTCATCATTGCATTGTAGGTCCTCAATTCATCCAGAGTCATATCTTTTAATTTTTTCCGACAGGAAGCTGAACCTCGTGCCTTTATAGAGTTTTGGGTCTGCCGTGTTGCTTCAGCCTTCCTTCTATAGTAGGCTGCTCGCGACCTTTCTCTGTGAAATAAGGGTAAAAAAGTTTACAAATGGAAATAATTTTGAAAAAAAAATTAGAAAAAAAAAAAATATATATATCCCAAATAACAGAAATACCGCTGGGATTTAGTGAAGAGACTGAAAATTTACAAAGTTGTATTTGCAACCCAAAAAAAAGACAGTTTAACAGTCACAGCTTTTTTTTTTTTAAAAGTGAGGTTAAAAAGAAAACAAATGCTGACAACAAATAGGTTCTTCATTTTTAAAGCAAAAAGGAGAAAAAATGAAGAAACAGCATCGCCTTGATAGGCTATAATAACAGCATCGCCTTGATAGGCTATAATTTATAATATTGAGTCTTTCCAAAGCCTACCTTTTTACCTCCAGCTTCCTGTTCCTCTCCTCCACTTGCGCCCTCGTATGAGGCTCTGTTTCCCATCTCCTCCTCTCCTCAGCCCGCCATTTTATGCCTTTTTCTCGCTTTATTTGAAGATATTCCTGATATTTTTCAGGATCCTGTTCTTTCTGCTTTCGACGATGAAGTGTCGACCTCGATGGCATCACAAGTATTATGTTTATCAATGAACTTTAAAAAATTTTAGCTTGGGGAGAAAAGGCTTCAGTCCTGCTAATATAATATATGCACGTGGAAGGGAAGAAAACATTTAGAGGCCTAGATAAAGATTCACACGCAGGGAGGGAGGGCTGCTTTAATTTTTCATCAAAACAAACACAGCACACAGTAGGCCTACAGTCCAGCCTTCTCGGACAAGGGCAAAAAATCTCGGAGGTCTTGTGTGCAAGTTGCGCATGTTAAGGATCCCTTGGTGATCTAAAATTGATAAGAGTAGGCTTCGGCCGCCACCAACGCAAAATTCAAAATTTCCTTCCAACTGAAAAAGTTTACTGTGTCCCGTGTGCTCATATGACCGTGGAACGGGCACCGATGTAACACAAACTCAATAAAATTGAAACGGTTGCACCGCATTCACTACATCTGTTGTGACGGCTGTAGTGAACCGTATTTTGATCTCCAGCCCATGCATAGCTTATAGTAAAAATATAGGCCTAACGGTTTTAACGATGTTTCCCCCGCGGTTAGTTTTAACCTAGAATTGATGAACCTGATGATGTTTTGTAAGGTTACGCTCATTCACACAATAGTACGAGGCATCAGATCCTTAGCGAACAATCCAGCCCACATGATACTATTTTGATAACCTTACATGATAAGCGTCAAAGCTCAATAATTAACTCTACAGTGAAGTTGAGCGCTGAGATTATTTCCCTTGAATTTTTCTTCCAACGGCTGTTGCGATCTTTTTTCTGGTCCCCCAACGACATTGATCGCTACAAGTAACAAGTGTAGTCGACTGTATTCTACTATTCGAATTCTAGATAGCTAAGCCTAAGTCTCATATTATATCCTATATTATTATTTTTAAAGCAAGTGGCTATTCTGTATTCTCCGGTGTTGCGTCGGTCAAAAGATCAGACGCTATTAGGCCTACTGATGAATTGTAATGCATCTGTCGATGCAGGTTTTGAGTTAAAGTTAACTAGGCCTAGTAAATCTACCTTTCACTATTATATTTTATCTATGATAATTGTGTAACGTAACTTTATTCATTTATTTGGGTCGTCCATTTTCTTAAAATAATGATTGTTTCTTTAAACGAACAAAATTGATTTTGTGTCTAAAATCCTGTCTAGTCATATCAAATAGTATAGCTTGATGCTTAACTTATTTTTTGTTGTTGTAATTTTCATTATATATAAATTTAACTGATATTTCGCGACCTCAGTACTTTCTTGTCGTATCTCCATTTTTGTAAACAGTTAAAATGTGACTTCTTCTTATGCTCACTCTTTGTTATGTACTCGCGTCACTAGATCTAGAGTCTAGTGGTGAACACGTTTCTTCTGCACCCAACATAATTCTGAATTGGAGGAATTGAGGCAGTTTGTGTCTGAAAACTTATCGTCTGTATCAATCACAGATTTCTACACTTAGTGTAGAATTCTGTGGTATCAATGGAAGTGGTGAAGTTATGGGAATTTTTTTCCAAGACAAGCAGACGAGAGAGGTATTTGCAAATCTGCGCCGACAAATAATTTATTAGTAATAGACTGGCGACGTGACGCTGGAGAATAGCTTCCGATCCACTGACCGGTGCGACGCCGGAGAATAGCCATTTGCATTTTTAAAGACCTCTTAGATCTAATTGAATTCTAATTCTAGCCTAGAGTCTAGTTCTAGATTAGAATCCATGCAGACGGGCTCTAAAAAGTGACAAGTTGAATACTGTAATATTCTAGATCTAGCCTAGCCTAGAATACTAAGAATTTAATTTTAAAAGGCTTCCATTTAAAAAAATAAATATAAAGTAAAATACATACATGTAATACCCCCGCCTAATGTTTCGTTGGAAGCAAAATCCAAGTTGATCTTTTACTCTGAACCTTGCCCCACTATGATTTCTTTGTATTGTCGTCGCAGTCACTTTTTTTCTGCTTTCAAGTTTCCAGCCAGCCAAAATTGTTATTGAGTCGCCCGTCCCGAACTTGGCACAGTGGCAGTCGCCATTTTCCTGTCATGAGAGCACGACCGTCGCTCTAAATCCGAATACGTAATACGTGACAAATTTACTTCGTGTCTCGCTGACCAAACGAAATGAAATTTGGTCGATTTATCTCACATTAATCATTGGCTTTTAGAATTATTTATGCTGAAAATGAAGCCGACATCAATAATGACTTTCATTAATGTTTGGTAACATTTAGTCTACAGTTTCAACTGAAAATCACGTTTAAATCTAGATATATCCAGATGACTGATATAGTCGAATAATTGTTGTTTTGTCGGTTCGCCCGGCAGAAATGGACGGACATGGCCCAGGCGGCAGACTACTGACAATAAAAAAGATGCATTTTTCACCTTCTTCACACGAATTTTTGAGTCAAATGAAAAGCAACAAGGAAACTACGATCTAGACCTGTAACTGTTTATGCTTCCTTCTGGATCTTTTTCTATACAATAGCTAGGCAGTGGAGGGAGAATGCGAAATAAGGCGAATTGTGAATCCACCAGCAGCCAGTCAGCCGTCGCGTATCGGCAGCAGATCTATTCGCTGAGACTATTCTCTGGTATCGGGCGAGGATACACGAATAGGCTACCCGGATGTTTATAGAGATCTAGCATCTAGCCCATAGATGTACACTATAGTTACTTAGCCTTACAACTTGTCTTGCCAAGACCTAATAAACTTAGATTCATAAATCCTCCAAAAAATATTTTCTCATTATCACAAGAATCAACGTAGTTGATACCAATGACTGTCATAACATGTTTGATGACAACCGAAACTAAAGACATGCTGGATCAATCGCGTCTTCACCATTTCGAAGAGATCAGCTAAGGATCGATTCGATTCGGTTTGGTTTGGTTTGCTAGCCAGATTGAGACAAGAGCGCAAAGCGTCTATCATGGCACAAAACCGATCGCGCTCAAAAACAAACGGTGAGCACATTGGGGGATCTGTTAGGCTAGGCGCGGACATGGCAACTTTAGTTGCGCAACAGTTTTCTCGCCCACATGTAAACAATGAAATAAACAGATGAGCATAGGCCACTCGGGTTTTCATTATTTACATTTGGGTGAGAAAACCGTTGCGCTACTTAAGTTGCCCTGTGCACACCTAGCCTTAAGCGATTGCGTGACTCGTCGCCTGAAAACAAACACGTCTGTTTTTAGACGACGAGTTGGGAGATCAGTTTGTGCCACGATAGCCGCTTTGCGCCCTCAATCTAGCCAGCGAACAGAACCGAACCGATTGTGTCACTGGGCACTGGTTTGCTTTCAGTCGAAGAGTCGGGCGATGGTTGTCGATCCCTCAATGGGCGACCTAGACTGACATAATTACATATATGGCATAGCACACGTGGGCAGTTATCCAGGCTTTTTATCTATAAAGAAATACGGTTTTAGTATACTTCTGTCGCGTGAACACACACACTGCAATTTCTTTTCTTTTTTTTAAAGATCAAAATTAAAGGCCTAGATTACATAATATAATTCATTGGCCTTCTTGTATTATACCATTACTCACCTTTTTCACCAGTACACAGTTTTCAAGTGCCAGTCGATTGCCATTCCTTCAAATTTGGTCCAGGGATGTCAGAAAACCACAGCTTCCACAAAACAATAACAAAACAAAAAAACGCATGAAAATGTTGCTGTCCCATTAACTAAACATTCCATGTTATTGCATGTATCACGCGCGCACACACACACACACACACACACACACACACACACACACACACACACACACACACACACACACACACACACACACACACACACATACACACGTTCATTTTCGAGAAAAACAGTGTGGAAGTCAGAAAGTTTCATATTTTGCCATTGGCTGTGTTTTCCGCCCTGATTACTGTTGAGAAAGGTACCGTCCTTATTCTAGCCAAGGCTAAACATTCTCAATCAAACAAAACAGACTCATCACTTCCCACCAAGCCGAAAGCCCCGTCCATGCCAAGCCAATTAAATGGAATATCAATTTGTTTTTAGCTTAGGCCCCTAAGCTATTTGCCTCGCTGGTTCGTGACTACCCAAACACCCATCCTCTGACACTTAGCCAGCTATAGCTGTCCTTCTTGTCTCCCAAATAACAAAACAATCTAAAACAAAAAGAAAACACCAAACAAAGTAAACATTTAAAAACGCTAGGCTATATCCTCCTAATTCTGGTCTTTAAAAAAACAACTATACGTTATATCGTATTAGACCCGAATTTACGAAACAGGATGCTGTCGAGTTCGAACAACGGGCTATGAATTCACGTCAAGTACAAAATGTATAAAGTATATCACCTAACAACGGCCGGCATTTGATGTCATTTATTATTATTAAATATTTCAGGTGGACCATTTGGTTTGGAACTTTTCCACCCAGACTAAGATTTGAGTTGGAGTCAATGTAGTTCTACAGTTATCGATAAATTGTTACATGATTTAAACAACAATAAAGCTTGCTTACCTTCTTTCCTTCAATAGCCGTATAGTTTTATTACATTATTTACACAAGCCTATATGTACGACCTTCACAAACAGGAACGCGAGTTTAAGTCAAGAGCAATAATATTATAATGAAAAGTGGTTGCATCAAAAGTGAGGCCTACTGCTGTTACTTTTGTGACCATGCATGACTCTCAAAGTGAAATGAGAACACTACAACAAGAGTTACGAGAGACTAGAGACCAAATTGAAACTTATTCGAGCAGTCGTGTCTTGAATATTTACTATTTACCACGCTTTGTGCCATTTGCTGCAGGTTGAAACAGAAAGTAAAACTCATGCCCAGTCAGTGCACACTACACTCTGCAAATCGAATTCAGTCGAATTCAATTCAGTCGAATTAAGTCGGAGTTAGCCAGACCATGGAGAGACAAAATCTGCTTCCCAGAGGGGTGCAATCGGTCGATCAAATTCATCAGGGAGCCCATTGGCATCATCAGTTCCGTTTTGTCGGTTTCGGGGCAGTCGGATTGTCATGCACGGGAGGGACAAAACCGACGAAACCGGCAAAACCGATGATGACCTTCAGTAAGAAATGGGTTCATTTTCAAAGCAGCGCGTCGGGCGATCGGTTTGGACAGTTGGCCGCCAGAAACCGAACCGAACAGAACCGAACTGAACAGAACCGAGCCAGACCAGACCGAACCAAACCGAACCGGACCTCCAATGGGCACGGCCCCTGGCCTTCTCACTTCTCAGTCCTATTCGGTGCTTCACTATTGCACGCAAGAAACCTAAGTTCGAATCTCGGGCGGGAAGAAGTTTTATCGCAGATCTCGGTATTTTTGTTGGGATGTAGTATCCCTCTCAGCCCAAATATATA